TTATGGGTCTTCTCGATTCTCTCAAAATGCTGGAAATCGCATTTCCGAGGATTAAAACTCCAAACTTTTCTGGGGGGAATGCCCCCGTACCCCCTATAAAAAGTGACTCACATCAGCCCCCCACATAATCAACCGCTCCGCGGTCCCTGTCTTGCTATCACGTATGATATCAACTTTATGTCACGGCATAGATATAACTGCTGATTAAAAAGTTGATTTGATCAAAGCCATCTATTATCGTTATGAAAGGCATGTTGAAAGTATTAGTTTGCTACTATAGTAAAGGGGGGAGGTAGGTTCAACTCCGTAAGAATGTACTTAAGGTGATTTTTCTTTGAAATAAAGCCATAATTGAACAAAATTTACAAAGGAAATCAAGGAAACCAGAGTTTTTGAAGTCAATTTGAAACCAGCCGCCATCTTGGATGATCAAAGCTATCATCCAAGATGGCGTCCCCATACAAATTAACCAAATATTTCAAATCTTTATTCGCTGATATCTTCATCAGAAAGTAAGCTGCAAGCCTTAAAGCTCGTATTCTAGATAATCTGACTATGCTCTTTGTGACTCGCTACTTGGTTTTTGAAAATAACGACTGATAAATTTTCACTTTTGGGGTTGCACACCAAGAATAGAGCTGATTAGGCTAATTACAAACTAGATCACATCAGAACACAAAGAAATCGACGATTCTTCTTTTAATATACWAAACTCTAATTTTAATCAACAAGGAAGAGAATTTGAGAATGGGAAATTTTAAGTTCAAATTTCAGAGAGTGAATAGTATATTAGTAAATCTGCCTTAGTTTTCAGCTATCCGCCACTGAAAAAAATGCTGTGACGTCATTCTGCGATAATCCTAACCTGAGGAATGTCATAATGTACTAAAATGTGTTAGTTTATTATCCGAATCACGCGTCGATTTAATCTGACTAAAAAGCATAATGAAAGTAATGAATAAACTGAATTCCAGCTACACCAATTAGTAGGTATGAGCTGAGGGTGACTCGACCAACGCCGTTATACACGGTAGACACGTTATACACGGTAGACACGTTAGACACGGTAGACCCGTTAGACCCGTTACAATAATCAGTATCACAGCATCGATAATGGCCGCACTCCTTTTGCTTCAATTCCTTGCATTGTTGATGTGCTTCCCCGCAAGCGCCCTTTGAACTACAGCTTCGTTCATAATATGTCGTGTTCACGTTTTCAAAGACTTCTTCCTTCGTGATGCAGATGTCATATTCTTTCCATTTTTTTACACAATCGATTTTAATCACATTTCCGTCGCAGTGTTCCCAAGAGACTTTGGAATAACAGAAGAAGCAATGAATACTGAAAACTAAACAAAACGACATCGTTACATCTTTATATCATTGATACACCCGCACATGGCTAGCTATGGTTGAAAACTGTTGCAGCTSGAAATGTACTCACTAGGAGAGTACTATGATACTATTAGACGATCACACTAAGAAGACAGCAAAATCCATGAAATAACCATGAATGTAATGATCAATGCCACAATGACCCAATAAATGATGGAAGTATGTGGAAGGAATTCACTTTCTCAGCAACAGTYGCAAAGCTACAATAGACTTTAGGTTGAACAATGTTGATTGGAGTGAAAATATCGGCCTAAAAAATGCATGGGATCACAATAAAAAAAGTTTATCACGATACTGTTCCAGTAGTATATTCAGACCAGTTTGATATGTCAAAGAGACAAAAAGGTGTAGGAATGAAATCGCCATGTATACACAGTCTGTGTGTAGAATTCTTACCTTTAGTGAAAAGCACACMGAGAAACCAAAATAGAAGCCATACGTGATGAACACGTCGAAATCGGCCCATCAGGAGATCGATCAACTCGGCCTGAAATAGCAAAAATGTTTATAGCGCGTCGTTCGTTGTAGAAGCTTCACTACAATTCTAGAAACAGCTTTTGCTTTAAAAAGGTAAAAAATGCTAAATCTTTAATCAAAATTTGTTTGGTTTCACATCGCAAGTTCCCACAGTAACTAGATGATCATAGATTGCTAGATGATCATATAGATTGCTAGATGATCATAGATTGCTTACGTCCTTACGTGGACTTCCTGTAGCTGCGCGGGACAAAGACGTTAAAGAAGCCGCCATTGAGCTATAAGTATTTCATTTTCACAATACAGTCATAAGACGCTTTAGACGTCTTTTTAGACGTGATGGCGCTATTATTTCCATTCAAGTTATTTCTTCCGTTTTAGTATTGCGGAAACTTCATAGGAAAAAAAGAACTTATATGTAGGTATGGGATCTATTCATGCTAAGAACGGATATATGAAGTATATCTAACATTTTCGTCTCGAGCTACCACATATACACAAACATTAGTCTTCTTTTCGCATCGTCTTTTCTTTTTTTTCGSGTCGGTTGGTATTATGGGTATGCTCTGCTTTGGTAGATCAAATGTCTCTATGTATTCGATCGATGGATTAAATCGAAGATTGTGGTGAATATTCTGTTTAAAAAAATCGTCATGCGGTAAAATTAAGGAATGCAGAATTCATACAGAATTCTTCAGTCGATTGCTTTTTGAAAATGCGAAAATTGTCATCAATAATGAATACCCCCAGCTTCACCCCCCAGTAACCTTCCGATATGCACTTCCTCTCTCTGGCCGGCACTCAGCAAACATATTATATTTCCAATTTGTTTCTCGCGACGTATACAGCCTTTTGCACAAATTATGAGACATTTTTATATATATAAATATACCTAACCAAATATCAAAAACACCCAAGAAATTATGGGATACCGTCGCTGATATTTTGTCATGATTGCCTAGCATCAGGTTGTTACAGACAAAATATCAGCGACGGTATCCCATAATTTCTTGGGTGTTTTTGATATTTGGTTAGGTATATTTATATATATAAAAATGTCTCATAATTTGTGCAAAAGGCTGTAAACCGATGGACAAATATATATATATATATAAACACTAAAATGCTCAATTTCTTGTTTGGATATTTTCATGCGTCAACATATAAAATAAAAATGACAAAAAAGCTTTTTCCGAACCCAACATTTAGTTGAGATATATTTGTTTAACATCTCTATTGATGGCAGCTAGTCCACTGGTAAAATGTGCTCAGAATATTAAAGAGATGGTCAAAGGTAAATATAATTATTTTCCCTAACATTGCTTGCGGCGTATTAATTCAGTGATCAAGTTTTCTAACAGCTATAAAGCTAGGATGTCAGCTACAAATCAATTTGACATCTTTTTATGTCAATACAAAACCATTTCATGAATGATGGATTTTAATACTTGCACTGCTATCGATTTAAAACAAACCTCAAGGTTCTTTTATCTTCAAATATGTGAATAAAAGTAATCACCTTTTGGTAAAATAGCACTTAGATCGGAAGTGCGATCTTAACTTAAAACGGGCATAACAAAAAGACACTGATGAGATTCCCAATATAGATAAACTAGAAAATGAAAATCAGACAAAAACGTAATGAAACCAAACAAACATTTAAAGTATTAAGAGAGAGAAAATACGTATGAATAATTTGTGGATCAATGAAATAATTCAAAAAAATCTCGTCCTATCCTATAAAACTATATTAACAAAATTAGTGATCAGATATTAATCTTAACAAAATTACATAGGATACATGTTAAACAAATAATATACGCGGCCGAGAACAGCGAGTTCCCGTCGCGATTAACTTCTTTTTCCCAAAAAAGAAATGTAAATGGCTAAAATTGTTTTAAAAATGGCGATTGTTCTAAATCATGGATTTTGTCGTAATACATGAATTCTCTCGTTAAAAGAAGATTTTTACCTTGAATCAAGAGCTTGGTTTAGCTGGCTTGTCAAGACTGACTGTGAAAGGCGCTATGTACAAGCCTGTCTTAACGATTGGTATTATTCATAGACTTTTATCAATTAAGTTGCCTGGAGACAGTATTCAATTATATGTCGAAAATAGTAAAAATTTGTTAATTTTAGCCTAACAAAATATCTAAACGACTAAATCACAACGTTTATGTCAATCCAGCGTAAATTGGAAAAAAAAAACGCCATATGGGTTAAACGATTAATAATTCGATTTCATAGCTCATGATTACCTGTGATCGGCCATAAGCCTTTTACGACAGGAGAATAGAAGTCTGTTCATACAATGTTAGTCAGTTGTCAAAAAAGGGACTGATAGCTTTTAAGGAAAAGTATATATGCTATTCAAACCAATTTTAATTGAGTAAACAAGTTATATTTTTAAATCTTAATTTACCATATTGTACTTTCATTGAAAATCCCCAAGAAAATTCCCTTATTCTGAATCACTTCTATAAAGACTGTGACCACTATAAAGGTCCATTACACTAGCGATTTTTGCTGCAAAGTTGTTCGGGCGATTTTCAAAAATATGAATATATTGTACTGAGTCGTAGTGATTAATTCTTCAAAAACGTATGAACATAATTAATGAGTTATTAGGCCAATAGAATGAGCCTATTTGGTCACATGCATGGACCTTTATACAGTCAACYCTCTCGTAAGCGACCACCTCGGGATCAGGAAAAAGTGGTCGCTTACGAGAGATGGTCGCTTAGGAGAGAGTTGATTTTACAGAGTTTATATGGGAAACAATTAGAAGGGGAAATTTAAAAGGTGGTCGCTTACGGTAGACGGTCGCTTACGAGAGTGGTCGTTCAAAGAGAGTCAACTGTACCTGATAAAACACTCCTTATTAGTACTCTTTAATAAGGGTGACCGTTAACGGCTTTGAGTTTCAAATTAGTGTTAGAGTTTTTGAAGCCGTTTAAAACGCTCGACTGATCGTGTAAAAGATTCTYGCCTGATAAACACTCTCTCTCGTGTTTTAAACTATACTTTAACGTCATCGTTCTGTAGGATCAAAATGAACACAAAAATCGCGCAGAAATCGCCAGTGTAAACAAGCAAAGCATCGCTGTACAAAGAAAAGCTGCATATGATTTGAATGTGTAAATCCGCATTTTATTTCAAAACGGTCTTCAAAGTTSTAAGCCAGTGTGCACAAATACTTCGTTAGTGGGATTTGAACACTGTTTAGTTGTCTTAATGGTTCTGAACGTTTTAAAATAGCACGTAACAACAAAACAATGCTCAGATTCAAGTAGGGAATTATCATGTAAGTATTCCAACCATGCAGATCATTTAATGGGTTAACGAACATAAATGTTGCCATGTGGGTTGGCCACACCTTGCACCTGGTTTAAGTTATTGGTACCACATGGATCRTGGGTAGGCCAATTAGCTGTTTGAGTACTTGCTTCCAAGTAGTAATACTCCTTTAGCCAACTCGTTGATGACGTACGTATCAAGTCAGGACCCAGGTCCTTTCCACCACTTCCTGCAGTCACAAACTTTATATGATCTGGGACGTAGTTSTGACACTTATGGCCGATGTTTCGTACGACCTTTAACGTAAAATAGTGATACAMATACTTAGCTTTGGTACCTCCCAAGACTCCTCTAGTATGAGGCACTCGCCTCGATAAAAATTTGCCGAATTTTGAAAGAAAATAGCTAAATTGAATGAAATTTTGTGATCGATGAATGATCTGTACGTGAGAGCTTCTTTGTTTCATCCCATCTGTGTGGGCTATGTACATTGTTTTAGAGTGAATATTGCATACTAAATCCCACGCTTAAATCTACTCAATACATAAAACGCTGCAAACAGCATTTCCAAGAGTGTGAATTTCAAAATTTCTTKGGCCATGCGCCCGAATCCCCCAATTGCTCGTGCCTTCGGCGGTCGCTTCTCTCGGTTATCCATTCTGGCTATATGGCACTGCATCTCTGCCACGCCCCTCGACTAGAACCGCTACGCAGGYTAGTTATACTCAAATCATGTTTAATGCTCAAATAGACTTCAAGTTATTTAAAAGTGTCAATAGTTTATACCTGACAGTGAATCGACCCAGTCCTCCACATCACCAAACTGCCAGATCCATCATCACACTTGATCCAATGGTTGATGTTGGACTTAATCATAAACTCAGATCCAATCTGTTTCCACAGATTAAAGTTCATGGCGGCATAGTGGGTCTCACTGAGAGGTGGTTCTGTTGACCGTGGACTGTTGCCAACAGCAGGCCAATCAGGTTGAGGTGTGATGCTGTTTAGTCCACTCCTAGGAAAATATGAATAACATTCAGACTACTAACGTGTAACACTAGAAACCCAACAAGACTACCTGAATGAGCCATAGTTAGTAAAGGTATAGCTATACACCAAAGTCCAACCTCCACCACTAGTTTCCATGTCGCAATAACCCTGGAATGCATGCGAACCAGTGGGATTCATCCAGTAGATCCCGGATGTAGCTTGAGGATGGCGTGCTTTGTGAGTTTTGCAGGTTTTGATGGCTTCGTTGGAAAGAAGACCTACGATTATAAAAAGAGCAAGAATAAACGAGCCCTAGCACTATGAAATTGTCTCTGGGAAAACTTGTATGTATACAATCTCGTAACCAGAGCCCACACTTTTGCCATCCAGCGGAAGTCAATGCGTGAGCAATCTCGTACCCAGAGCCCACACTTTTGCCATCCAGCGGATGTCAATGCGTGAGAGACTCTGGAGGAATGCGTTATTTCTCGATTCGTGATTGGTTGAAAATGACGCGAGCGCGCATTGTTTTCAAGTGGGTTTTTCAAGTCGCCAGCGCGCGCTCGCCCTATTAGTCAAGAAAATCATCCTTTTCTCGCATAACCACACATGTTTTCACACATTTGTGTTTTTAAAAAGGTGTCAATGCCGTTCCTAAACTAAGTTGTGTGCTAAATCTCTTCTTTTTTATCATTTTGATGCTCTAAAGCGGCAAAAACAAAATTGACCTAATTTGCATAATTTGCGACGGAAAAGCGTCGCAAATCCAGTCGATTCCTCCAGAGTCTTTCCGGCGTCAGCATACCGCTGACATTAGCCGAGAAGACTCTGGGCTCGAGATTGATGCGTGAGAGACTTCTTTCCGGCGTCAGCATACCGCTGACTTTAGCCGTGAAGACTCTGGGCTCGAGATTGGGATGTATACATTTTAGTTCTTCTAATTTGTAGGTACTACCGCTGACGTAGTATGCGGTTTATTCTCAACGTACCTGTCGTATCAGGACACGGCTTCTTATAACCTAACAAAAGAAAACTAGTCTTGTTAATTATCAATCATGAAAACAATAGCAAATGTCACTTACCATCGATGATATAAACATCATTGGACCAGCCCCCTCCTTTACCATTTTTACAGTTAAACTTCTTGCCGTGCATATCATACTTTAAATACTCCCCAGTACCAGTCCAACACTCGCCTCCATTTTGCAAACCAAACACCTTGTATCCTTTGGTGTGGGAGAGTTGCGCACAGTCGTCTATCGATTTGTGTCCGTGGTATTCAGGTAAAGCCCGCTGCTGTCTCGTATCCCCATAGCAACCAACGTGGTGATAGTCTGCATGAATTATTGGGTGAGGTCAGTTATGTCTTAATCAATGATGCAGAATAAGACGGGAAAAGTGTCACTACAGGGAGATACGGATCCATAATATTCACTAGCAAAAGCCCTCATATGATTACCAATACTTTTTTAACATGGTGCTAAGGGACGGAACATTTGATTTTAATGCGATCTTTGATGAGGGGAGGGGGAGGATGGGAGGGAGGGGGTAAGGAGAATCCCAAAAATTGAATAAGCTTTTAATCCGTGAAAAGACAATCAACTGCGGATCAAACGTCAGAGCAATAAAAGACATCGAGCAAAACATTTCGGACAGCTGTTGGAAGGTTCGTGCATGCCACGAATGCCAGTACAATAACATGCATTGTTTATTTTTATTTACTCACCGAGCTGCTTGAAGGAGTGCGTGTAGTGACAGAGGAATGTCATTATGCAAAACAAATGCCAATACATCTTGGCAAACCAGGAGCTTCTTACTTTATAGCTGYGTATATTAAATAAATATCCCTTTGCTGACAACTGGTCAATTAAAAAATCTCCCATTGTTGACCCAATATTCGAGTTAAAATCAAGGTTTTGTGAAATTATAGGACTAAAAATTCAAGAAGTAATTATTGTTGGAACAAATAATGACGTTTCTGTTTTTGCATTTTTACAGTACTTGGATTGTGTTATTCAAGTCATGCAGAATGCAGCCTAGTTGCTTCACTACTGTAGGATTGAACAATTCATGAAGAAATTGGAATCGGCAGAAAAATCGATACTCTGGGTAAATCAAAACAGCTCAAGTTGTGTCCTGGGGAAGTTAATGATCTCTATTAGAGAGGATTTCTTTTGAGTGGGAAACGGACGGTACTGTACCGTGACCGTAATCGTACTGTAACCAAATTCTAGTGCCCCATTGTTTCACCAAAATTGTGAAGACCAGGTCCGGTAACTGTGCGGTAACCGTGCGGTAACGGTGCGKTAACGGTGTCCCACTCATACAAAATCCGCTCTATCGCGGCTATCTTCAAAACAATGTACCTTTCTACTTTTCACAATCGTTAAGTATGTGAGAACTATATACTGCCCTATTATCTGGTTTTAGTACCATTTAGTGAATTAACCAAGCCGATCATGAAGTTTTTACCTATTTTCACCACCTCCTTGTCTTCTAAGTGTAGCGAGTCTTTCTTGTTGAAGCCTTCGCTTGCACTGAATGACAATGAACTGAATAAAGTCTTGGTAAATAGTTATGAAGGAATGTCAATTGCTAATCATGACAATCATTCGTATTTCTATGTTAAAATGTAATATATGAAAATWTAATGTCTACATTAGGGGGGCTGAGCAAATGACCCAAAAACTTGAGCACAGCCTGAATTGAAGAAAAACTATCGTGTCACAGCAATAATATCGTACAAGACTGAATTTGCGCGCKCTCTCTGCATATATTTGTCCGAATTTATGGAAATTTCAATCCAGAGGGACGGCAAACGGGAAAATGGGAAAATGCGCAAATTTGAAATAAATCATCGATAATACTAACTATGAAGARATGCATCTGCGAAATATAAGCTCCTGCAAGCAAGTGAAAAAAAAAAACAGGACGAAAAAAGACACTACCCCTCCCCTACATATAAAAGTAACTTGTTATAGTGTTTGTTTACATCCGATTCAAAATAACGATACCCATATTTTCTCTTCATTGTACATCTTCATTGCACATTTCGGAAACAAGAGAAATGAAAAAGATATGTGGATGTCTCACGCAATAGCTTACCTTGCCCTCCCCTCCCTGGCCACCACTTGTTGCTTCGTAAAGCCACTTAGCAAAAGCCACTCGACAGCCATGATTTTCTGCACGAACYGAAMGTTTTAAGTTCTTGTGGTTACAAGAGAGTCCGAAGGTGAGGAAATGTTTTTATAATCGGTGTTGTACGAATATAAAGCTTCTATATTACGAAAACCAAACGTTTGGAAAGTAAGTTCAAAGCAATATTGTTAAGCTAAATATTATTGTTAAACTATTGTTAAGCTTAATTATTTACAAAGCTTCAGCAGAGTCAGTACAGACTCTCTTATTGTAAGTATGCACTATATCATGTATTATTCTTGTTATTATTCTTGTTTTATGCTTTTAATATTTTAGAAGATTGAACGAAGAACGAGGACAGATTTTCAAACGTTTAGCTGTTCGCTCGTACCTGGGTTATTAGCTGAATGATTGATTGAAAAAGCTTGTTTATTTATTTTTCTTATTACTATTGTTTGCGAAATACGCAATGAGCCATAGTTTTGTCAGCATAATTAGATGATTATTGATAATTATAATTAAAATTATAAATGGTACAAAATATCTAATTATAATCTGATTCCCTGCAGTCATTAAGGCAATGATAATGAATATAATTTATAGTCAATGAGCTTCTCATGAAGTGTTACTTAGTTTTATTGAGTGCATACCATTTTTTCTCATAGTACCATGGGAATGCTCATTTTTGCTGTAAATATTCTTCTTGGTATACCTCTGTCTGTTTTCTCCATATTATGTTTGTATTTACTGTATCTACATTCAAAGTATGACCACCTACCTGGACCAGAAAGAGATGGCTTCTTTACTGGTCATCTGCCAATGGTACGCAGACGGCGTGAACAGGAMAAAGTCATCATCCACCAGATTTGGGCAGACCTTGCAGTTCAATACAGTCCTTTGTATGTCTTCTGGTTTCTTCACAGGCCAGTTGTAATGATTTCTGATGCTGATCTTGTCAAAGAAGTTCTCATTAAACAGGATTTACGAAAGGATCCTTTTGGATACAATCACTTTGCCTATCTGTTTGGACAAAGGCTTCTTGGAGGCAGTTTGCTGTCAGAAGTTGATCACCAATCATGGAAAACAAAAAGAGCATGTCTAAAYCCTGCTTTTCATCATAAATACTTGGGTAACTTGATTGGTCAGTTTAACCAGAGCTGTGATTTGTTTTTGGATAAACTTGCGAAGGCTGCAGATGGAGAAACTGAAATATCAATGGCAGATGAACTTGTCAGGTTGGCGCTAGATGTTATTGGAAAGGTAATATCCAACAATTACACTCATATTTTTATATGTTTTAAAGCCATGAGTGTTTTTAATTACAAGTTAAAGGTCAATCTGTCCGATACCAGCTTCTTCAAGCCAAAGCATAACATATGAACTTGTTATTGACGCTACTAGTTGTTTTTATAATTTTCAGGTTGCTTATGATCTTGATGTGGACTCTATTAATGCACCTGATGCACCTATTCCATCAAACACYAGAATAGCACTAGAAGGTCTTGTCCAGAGCTTCCGCAAGCCTTTCATTCGATTCCAGCCATCAACCTACTCCTACCAGGAAAAGTGTATTGAATCAGTCAAGTTTCTCCGGACAGCTTCCAGGGGAATCATTGAAGCAAGAATAGAAGCCATGGAGAAAGGAGAKGACKCTCATTCTGACATTCTGACATATATCATCAAAATTGCACAAGAAAATCCRGAGACAACAATTGAAGATTTAGTGGATCACTTCATGACATTTATTGTTGGAGGTAGGATCCAAGGCTTTTTTTAAAGTGAATGACAATAAATCAAATATCTGGCCTTTTTTAATTTTTTGTTTGTTTGTTCATTTGTCTGTTTCCAGAAGGTAATGGAAGTTTGAGAAAGTGTAAAGGATACAAATAAATTTTACTTATTTCTAATAATTAATGATTAATTTCAACAAATAGTCTAATCTATCTAGATASCGTAATATAACTGTTATCATATCATAAATATTACTTAGTTTACAGATGATTGTTATCTTTTAAGGTCAAGAAACCACCTCTAATCACATGGCCTTTACTCTTCTTGGAATACTCCTTCATCCTGAAGTTGAGCAGAGGTGGGTTTCCATTAAGCATAATATTTCTAGTAGATTGAATCACTTGTAAACCGTCCTTGTGTTGGGGCTCCTGTGTACCCAGTATTCAGGAAGTACATTATCAAACTCGCATATGWATTTTCAGAGTTGCTGCTGAAGTTGATGAAGTTCTGGGATCACGAAGATATGTGACTACCGAAGACCTATCAAAACTGACTTATCTGGACCAAGCAATAAAGGAAGCTCTCCGTCTCCATCCTCCTCAACCAGCCATTAACAGGATCACCAAGGAAGAAACAACACTTGGCAATTAYGTCATCCCAGCTGGTACTAGTATTATGTGTGATGCCCATGTTCTTCATCACAACCCCAAGTACTGGGATGATCCTGAGAAATTTGACCCTGAGAGATTTAATGCTGAAAACAAATCAAAGGTATGTGTACTCCCTCTTTGCAGGACCTTTATTCCTTTAAAATAAACAGATACCGAGGTTGATATGTACATTGTTCCGTTTACTTAGCAAACACCAGCATGCATTGCAAAGGTAAAGATCGTAGAGACATGCGTGCTGAAAGCATTGTTATATTGAACTTGAATTTACACACACAAAAAAACACACAMAAAAACAGTTACTTAATGTTATCCCAGAAAAACAGACCAAATATTCAAAAAGYTGATCATTCTAAAAATTGATGTAATGGCCCCGTCATCTAATTGAGATAAAAGTGACCCTTGCAAAGTTCTATAAAACGTTTGATTCATGATATTTACTTGTTAGTGATGATTTGTCTATACGATGAAATAGTGGGAACTAGCGGTTAACTAGTGTTACGATGAAATAGTCAGTTTCGTGCAAGATTCATGACATGCGCACTGAGCTAACTCATGTTGCTAACTCATCAGATTGAACACTACGCATATTTCCCATTTTCACTTGGCCCCCACAACTGTATTGGCATGTCATTTGCTCAAGTGGAGACTAAATTAGTTCTGGCGCGAACCCTGCAAACATTCAAGATGACGTTGACRCCAGGCCAAAAGCTCAAGGCAGTCGAACAGATGACAGTACGACCCAAAGATGGTGTGCGTGTTACCTTGAAGATGCGTTAAAGTACATCGTGGTGGTAGGAATACTGTACAATAATAGCAAACCAGTTATTACCAAACGTAATTACACAATTAACAACTGGACCTTTTCAATGCTAAGTGGACAGATTAACATGAATGGAAATGAATGTAATGTTTTTAATTATGACGATGCTAAATAGTTTTCTGACTGGCGGTATACACTAAAACTAACATTATACATACAATAATGACAGAATTTGAAATAAATAAAGAGATTTTTGTAAGCAATTTATTTACTCTTACGCAATTCTGGGGCCGATTCTACAATTGAGTAAAGTGAGTAGGGGTAATTCCCAATACTACTATGACGTCATATAGTTTGAGGTGTTTCATACTGGTCATGGTAGTTTCCCCTTTCAGTTAGACGTTTCTCTCTCGTGTATTTGGTAAAACTCACTTAAATGAATGAATGAATATCCTTAACTGAGTGTTGTGGAAATTTGCGGTAGAAAAACTTACTCGTTGCTCGTTTTGCGTTGTTGGCAAAATTCTTTTTGTGTCCTTTGTGTTACTAAGCGATTGTATTCAGTCCTTGGTGAGTTTGTATTGTTTTTTGTGCCACAAAATGAGAAGGTTAATACTAACGTTAGGCATGTTTTTGATTTTCTTTGGAGTCGAAGCCAAACCGACTTTGGACGGTAAGTTTTCCTTCGCCGGTTACTGCAAGGCCGTARTTATACTTTAAACCTTATGGATTGTGGGCTCARTTTGGGCAAAAGATTTCAGCAAGGCCTATTGATAATTATTCATAGTTTGATCAGTCTCTGTCACAAAATGAGGAATTTCTGATAACGATGAAAATGTTTTACGGATGAATAAGAGAATGAAAATTTATTGGGAATGTAGATGATCAAAGTTTGATATCAATAAATTCTAGAGGAAAGACGAAATCTATGTGAAGGAGAATCTAACCTCGCCGAATGCATCAAAGAGGTAGAAGAAGCGAAAGCAACTCCGGCATCTTTATTACTAACAGGTGAGGCTTCGATTTGACAACGTTTGATTCGGATAGGCCACCATACAGAAGAGGAAAAGTTACCAAAGGGGSTGAAGTAGTACTTCAAATTAGTTCATCTGAAACTTATGCAATGGATATTATTTCTTATAAATCTATCGTATTTCACAAATTATCTCTTCAAAACATCCATGTTTTCTTGATGTAAAGAGTAGGTATCCCATAATTTCTTAAAGGCAATGGGATTCAAGATGGCGGCCAATTAGAAAAAATATCGAGATTGTCTATGACCGTCTATCAACTATGACCAGTCTCTATATTCATAAAACGATGTTTATTATATTACACAATCAGTAGATATTATCATTAAAATTGATGATGATTACAAATGACAATTAATAATTATGTTCTTCAAATTGAATAATACAAGAGATAAAACCGTAACGAATCGTGTGGTCACATGACGAACACCTTGCCATCACTTGTATGATAAYGATCATGAAGATCATACTTGTTAGATAGACACACATACATCGTAACTACAGCCGGGCAAATAACAAATAGATCTGTCATTTTGATATTATTTACGTAAATTAGCGGAATGTCTCACAAGACGCCGTTTTAATACATACCACTGGCTTGAAAATGTTACTTAGAAACCCTTCAGTATAAAGAAAAAGCGATTAACAGTAAAAATGATGGCGGWAATGAATTTCTTTTCAACGGAAAATTATTTTTTTTATCAACTTATTTTATTTACAAAAACGGCGCCAATTTTTACCAAAAACAAAAAACAACGCTTAAATCACCTTAACTGAGCTATAAAATCGATTGATGTTTCATGTTGTGAATTTTTACACATTATTATTGGCTTGCTTTTACTGATATTTCCATGAAACCTCTGCTTATCTATTAAATGACCCCATAAGACCTAAGTTCGTTTGAACATGAAAATGGTGTAAATTAGTAAGATTCGAAATTTAATATTGACAAATTTCTTCTTTGCCAACTGCTTGTGGTAACATTGATATCAGTAAATAATCGTTTTGAGTTTTGCTAAAAACGATTTTTACAGCAGGTGAAAAACCGTAGTTTCTTTTTGACGGGCTGACATAAGTTGGTAATACCCGCCAAGAGAAAAAGATTAAGAGATCACACAGCCAACGCGATGCAGCAATCCCGTCAATGCACTGCACAATTATCCCCTTTGATAAAATCCTCATATATTTTTCGAAAGTACCACCAGTTATATAATAAATAATGAGGTTATCTTGTTAAAAGTCTTTCTTTCTGAGATGAATTTGTTGCGCTAACCATTCAAGTCCTTCGAAAATCCCTTGTCCTTTCAAAGCACACGTGGATTGAATATACCAATTCCTGCTTCTCAAGGAATGCAGGCTTAAACACTCACTTAGTTCAGAAGCCGTCATGGCATCAGGTAGATCTTGCTTATTTGCTAAAACAAGCAAAGCAGCTCGCTTTAGTTCGTCTTCTTTTAATAATCGATACAATTCATCTTTAGCTTCTTGTATTCTCTCACGATCATTGCTATCAACCACAAATATTAATCCTTGAGTTTCTTGAAAGTAAAGTCTCCAAAGTGTCCGAATCTTGTCCTGCCCTCCGATATCCCAAACAGTGAACGTTATGTTCTTGTACTCTATTACTTCAACATTAAAACCAATCGTTGGAATAGTATTAACAGCTTCGTCTAACTTTAAATGGTAAAGGATTGTTGTTTTGCCAGCTGCATCAAGTCCTACCATAAGTAAACGAAGTTCTTCTTTTCCTAGTAAACGGCGAAACAGCCGTAGCATTATATTCCCCATTTTATTGACGGAAYAACGATCAGATAASGAACCCAGTGATTACGTTACCTGTAGGTTACACACTGCGCATGCTCATTACCATGGCACCTGTAGCACATCATCTACTACTCTACCTGGAAAGCTAATTCTCTTTTGACACGAGAGCTAAAATAAGGCGTTAGTAAGTTTTTAATAAATGTACGTTTTAATATTATTTTGGCTATTTCATTTTTTCATCGGTCAATTCGGTTGCTATTAGAAACATAACGCGGCCCCATCACCAAGGTGATTTCMCACATGTTTTGCATGAATTTTATTTGACAATTAGGTATCAGGCATATTGATTTTTTAAATCATCAGAGGCAAATTCGCCATTTTCGCACGTAAATTAATCGCATCTATGACAGGTTAAAAGTACATTGAAGTTACGAATGGAAAATTGGTCTAAGAATCTGGTGAATTCGAGTAGTTGAACTGTTTCAGGGGTTAAAGTGTGTGCATGTGTGAAATTGATGCTAGACCAATGCACTCTTAATTTTGTGCSTTTTTGAATATACTGACACGCAAATCTGTAAAATCAAAAAAACAAAATTTTATTCACAGAAAATGAAGATACTGAAGAGAATAAAGGTGAAGAGCACGCTGACAACCATTATGAAATTATGAGGAAACAAGAAGAATTAATCAAAAAAATGGTGACAGAAGATGACAAGAACCGTGATTACTGGGATGAGGAATATAAAAGTATGAACAAATGGGCCAGATATGGAATAGCCTGAACTATGTTACTTAAATTTTTACGTCTTAAAAACAATCATGCGAGGTTTACACGAAGTTCCACRAGAGGAATGGAAAACGCCTTGGGCGAGGGGAAAATATTAAGTACACTCTGTTAGTAAAGAATGTCACCATTTCTTGCTTAATTCGAGAATTTAAGTTGGCTGATACTATGCAAAGAGTGATCATTGCTTTGGCTGTGTCATGTTTCCCCTTGCAAGCACAATGCTATGTTACTAAACTCATCTAGTCTAACATTGGAGTAAAATCTATTTTGTTCTTACCAATGTATTATTGGTTTCTTTTTAATGCAATATATCCTATTTATCCTTCTATGATATTCTTTAGTCAAACCCAGTCAGTGTAATTAGTAACAAGGATATTTCTGAAGAATGTGAAGAGAACAATCCTCCTTATCATGATTGTACTACAAAAATACCCATATCTGARAGAGAAMCTTCCTCTGCTGAATTTGTTTCACATTATTTTCCCTTTTTTGTGTGAAGCTGAAACAGACTTTCTTTCCATGTRTTTGTTATAAATAAAGATGTTTTATGTGATTCATTTACTTCTTGCCTTCCACCATGATGATATGGTAGCCAAACTTGGTTTTCACTGGAGGATCTGTGTAATTTGGTTTATCTACAGTCGATGTTGTAAGGGCAAATGCAGCATCCTGAAATGGTCCTACCATAGAACCTCTTGTCATCCATCCCAAGTCACCCTGCATGGGAAGAATTCATTAGATGTAGCATCTAGGATTATAATCAGCATCATCAATATCAAAACCTCCACTGTAAAAACCATCATGACATTATCACAATCATTGCCATTACAATTATCACCATCATTATTATTCTCATAATGGTATTAATTTTAATTAAAACATCATTAGTCAGCCTTACTGGCTGCTCCACTGTCTACTTGGCTATATGAATTACACATGAAGAGATAGCAACACATCACAGAAACACTTTCAGGTAATTTTGTTGTCTTTAATTAGGCACAGTATCATCCTAGATGCTTTGCGCGCTTCATCATAATTTCATGACGTTATACAAAATTATTTTGATGGCTATATTAGGCCATTGAGAGATTATAATAGAGATTATAAACTTGCTGAGCTTTCAATGAAGCAAGGAATATAAATGATAAAACTATCAAAGTTAATATGCTAAACTGACCAATCAGAGACAATCATTTTCTTTATAAAATAAAAGCAAATGGTGGCGAAACATCAATGGTAATTCTGTTTTAGTTTGACTTCATGCCATAAATCAATACACTACAAAGTCTTACTCCTTGTCTAGCTTTGTCCTCACTGTACGCTGTGGCAACATCATTAAATTTTTGGCCTGCTTGGAGTTTCTCCATGGCTTCCATTGCCTTAGAGTGCTTTTCACACAGGATATGGCGCACCTATAAAACAATCTGGTTACATATTCACAAACACCAGATGCTTGTTTCTCTAGGGGGATACTAGAGGGGAAATTTTCTAGATATTGTTTAGTGTTTGTAATTTGTTACCTTCACTGCTGTTCCACCTTTCTTTTCTTTAGTGACACCACCCTCTGCTGCTCCTTGCTTACCACCTATGAAACACCAAGAAAAAGCAATGAACAAAATGTAAAATGTAGAAGTGCTCAGCTTATAGTTATTACTCCCTTTTTATCATAAGAGGTTGTTTCTTTCCTGATTATCACTCAAATGGTTTTGGGAAACAAACATCTAACTCTCAAAATACAAATACTGACCTCCCTTTCCCCCCTTTCCTGCATTTTTATCGGATTTTGCAGCGCCTCCTTTTCCTTTTTTCGGAGGCATGGTACTTCACGACGTGATAAACAACCGCTGGGGGAGGTGGTGCTGAACAGATTCGTCCTCCCATCATGATTTTACATCAATTAAAAATGAAGCTGCACAAAGTAAAAATTCCATTATCCATAACTATATCCATTAAAATATGAATGTTTTGCCGTCATTCTTTTTCGTCCCTTTCGATTTTATTAAGAAGTTAATTTTATTACTTTTACCCCTCCCCGGACATATTTTTTGATGCATACGAGACCGCTGACCATCAGTTGTAAAAACAAAGATGGCGGACGAAGTGACTAAGAATTGACACATCAAAACGGCGTATATTGTGCACAAAATATGGAGATTGGACCCTCTCTACCACCTCATCTTTTGAAGAAAAACAAGGAGGAGTTAAATTCATCTACGATTCATGAAGAAAGAGTTCAGATAGGGCCATGTTTGCCACCAAATTTGTCAACTCATGACAACGACCAAGTCGAAAAAGGCTATGAACAAGAAGAAGACGATTGTACTTACGGTCCTGCTTTACCTCCGCATTTAGCCAATACTAGCAAATCAAGTGGAGTTGTTGGACCATCTCTTCCAATTGGTAAATAAACGCACACCGGTCTGTGTGCTGGCTAAAACAAACTGCACGCAAAAGCTTATTGAAAAAGATATTGTTCTAATCACTGTAAAAAAACTTGCGAATGTAAACTTATTATTTTTAGATCCTAGACAAAGCAAAAAAGAGGAAAATATTGATGAAGAAACAGGTCCAGTTATTGGACCCATGCCGTCCTCTTCGTCAGTAAGTTTCGCTTCGGTTTTGTGACAAGAAAGAAGTCAACAATATTCAAGCGATCATTTTTTCAGACAGCTCAGCACTATTCAAGTATAGAAAGGGACATTGAGGCAAGGTCAAATGCAATGAAGGATAAATTAACAGGGAAGGTAGGTGTACATTTTAAAAACATGACATTAACCTGTCTTCCAGTTCTGTAGAGCATCCATGACCTATGAGAAATATTCTGTTTTTATTGCGTGTTTCCTTTCTAGTATATTTACAACTGTCTTCAGTAGAGATATATAACAAAATGCCTAGGTTGTGATAATGTGAGTTATTTTAACAGAATAAAGTCAAACAGAAGCGTGAGGAGTGGATGACAGAATTACCACCAGAAATTGGCAAGAACTTTGGTAAGACAGTTTAAAGGAAAATCTTATTTATGCCATGTGTCCTTCTTGGTATGTAATTGTTATATTATTAGGGCACATTCTGCAAAACTGTGATATACAACATGTATAATTATGTACAAAAGCTCAATAATTTGTTGTGACATTTTTCACTGTTTTCTGTTAGGTCTTGGTGCTAGAAAGTTTCGAAAACAAGCAGTAGATTGTGGAGATCGCTCAGTTTGGACAGATACTCCTTCAGACAGGAGCAAAAAACAGGTATGCTTTAGAAGTCCATATGAAAAACACTTGTGAGATTGTGAGAGTATTCTGGGAGTTGCAGTGAAATAATGTGTCAAATATTTTTTAATACAATATCTGTTTGGTATTTTATGCTTTTTTAAAATTTAATTCCTTTTTTATTTACAATTAAGGAGTGGTAACCTACGGGTACCACTCAAGATTTTTTTTAAATGTATATGAATTTACATGTCTTTTGACATATCTTCTGCTTAATCTTATACCATTTTAACATTTCTATTTGTTATAAAAGGAAAGAGAAGCTAGAAAGAGAACAGCAGAAGAAAGCAAAGCWCCATGGGAAGAGGAAAAAGAGAGAAATATGAATGATATGATTCAGTCTTATACAGTAAGTCCCTCACCAATCATCAAATCCTGAACAGATGGAATGGAGAAGATGGTTTAAAATCCTCTTCAGAGGAGGGTTATCCTCAAGATTTTTATTTTGATTCTTGCAATTTTTCATGTGATGAGAACACATAATTAGTTGAAATTGATAAGAAAAGCKGAGGTCTAAATATCTTCATTATTAAACACAGACTGGCTAAATCCAGTGCACATTCACCCTTTAATGAAAAATGTATATTTGTGTATAATTTATACAATTTGTGTCTAACAATTATAGAAACAACATCGAGGAGAATCACTAATGGAAATTCATCAACGAGAATTATCAAAGAAAAGAGTGAGATTTTACTTCTTGGTTTTGTGTTAACTATTATTGTTGTTCTATTTGCTGTTTTTAATTTTTCTTATTGAACCATTCACAGAAAGAAGAGGGAATCAAACCCAATGAAAGAAGACCTTTTGATCGTGACAGAGATCTAGGCTATACAACAGTGGATCCCGACAAGCGAAAATCGTTAATTAGCAAATCTAAAGAACTAGAAACACGATTCCACCGATCAAAGTCTGGCTCAACTTTTCTGTGACATGCCTAACCTGTGCATGAGCGCAGTCATAGAACTATRGCATTTACTTTGACTGCCTATCTAGAATTATATGAAAACTGTGATACATTTGAGTAGGGCTGATATAAATTGTACAGATAACAGCATTATAGACAAAACAATTGATGTACATGGTCTATCAGGCTGATATAAACAGTAGCACAGGGAGTTACTTTGATGCATTTCCTGGTGATCTATTGACAGAAACGTGAAGCAAATCTTTTATAAAGTGTAAAGACAGCTCAAGCTCTCGAGCAAATTCTTCTTCTTTTCCATAACATGGATGGTTAGGGTTCGCATTCACCGTGATCGAAATAGCATCTCTCCCAAACATGTAATGCAATGCCATGGAAGATGGTGGCAGGATGCATTGGACMCCAGGTCTCCCAATAGCCTCAATCTCTGGAAACCAGGAGGGATTGGAGGTGACATTTTCTGCGATTTGAGGTGGTAATAGATTGATCAGAGGTGATCTGAGAAAATTAATAATTGTTTGTCGAAACGCATTTTTGGGGTTCAACGTCGGAGGATTTCTGAATGGAAGACGATTAACTAAGCCCAAATTTCTGTATAGAGAGTCGAGATGCCATACATTGATGTAGCCTTTCTTATAACGCAGTACCTCTTCTTTGTAACTTTGAGTGGCTTTTAACAATAGTGAGTTGAGAACCATTCGGTCCAGCTTGGACATATTAAGTACGTTGTGTCGCCTTTGGCGAGCTTTTTCAATGAATATTTTCATATCAGCCATACTAGCGTCCATAAATGTCATACCCCCAAACCTGAAATGCCTATTGAAAAAGAATACTGATTAAAATGCTGAATTATGCAGACATAACTGTATGACAGTGATAGCGTGGAATGAACCGCTGACTAAACCTGACTAGAAAAATGTTTTATCGGGGGTAACAACAGCTCGTGCACTAATGAATGCAAACCATCGCTAGCATACCAGATATTGGATGGTAGTTGAGTAAACATAAGCTAGTATAGGCGTTCTGAGGAAACTTAGTGAAGTTAAGGTAGCCAAAAGAGAGTGGAATAGTCATGTGACTAATGTCGCATAACAATATTGTGTGCCGTTTTTCTAGTAAAAAAAGATGGAAGTGAGCCGTTTCTTTCTTCGAATATTTATGTAGTTCAGTGGCTGCCATTAATTTTCTTACCTGATACTAACAACCTCATTTACACTCATCATTTTACCAGCAATCTTTGCGAGGGCAAGTTGAAGCCCAGCCTGAAAGGCAGCCCCTGGGGTTACACCGCTGGACTTACACATTGCCTCAAAACTAAAGCAATGGCAGATCTTAAATACGTCTTGTGATAATTGCTTAAACGGTCCTGATATGCGACTGTTGCTGATTAAAGCTGCCGATTTCTTTTTGAAGTAATCATCGGAGGAATCATCCCATATAAGAGGGCGTGGCTCTTGCCAGATTATGACGTCATCGGTACCTGTTTGTGGACGGAAGTAGTCTTTGTTAGAAACCGGGTTGTATGCAAATTTCGCCCAATCAATGCGCGCGTTATATCAATAGTTATTTCATAATTGTCTTGTAGACTGACATCCAGTACCATAGGGGTAATAAAATCTTACGGTCGCACAGCTGACGTCAGGAAACTTGGATACTATAAATTAATTGTACATCTCACCGTCATAGCTTTTGCTAATAGACTCGTATCCAACAGCTTTACCAACAAATTTCGTCCCAACAGTTCCCGTCATTCCTGCCAGATAGTTATTCACAAAGCCCGCGACACCATTCCCAAATACAACTAGCTGCACACTTTTGTCATACCAACGGTTGACAAAGTTCCCCGATTGTAGAGAGAACATAGCTTCGTTCGCAGTTCTGGGACATGACTCGGCGTCGAGCGCCAAAACGAAAATGGCATCACGAAGCAGAGAAAGGTTGACGACATTTTGCTGACTAATGCACTTGATACGCTGCTCTTCCAAATATCTATCTGAAGGAGGTAAACTCGTAAGAACACCAACTTGAATTGATGGTTGTCTTGAAGCGTCCATTTCGATGATGCTTTTTAATTGCCTCTAAATCATAGAAACAAATCGAGTATTGTAGATTGTCATAGCATAAAAGGATATCAAAGAAGAATATGAAAGTGGTCATCCCGATGGCACCGGACACACGCTCTTCCCTATCGTCGCAAAATACTCCCTCAAACTAAATCAACTTATATATGCAACTGCCACACCCTGGGCAGTTAGAAAATGAACGTTGGATCCTGTCAGTCATTTCATCTCATCAACTAATGCTCAAATACAACACGTGTGTCGCTTACCTTAAGTTGTCTTTCGTTAATGGTTCTTGTTTGTCCTTTTTCATCGGTTTTCATCATGTCAAGTTTGTACATATTACCGCGTACCATAACTATAATGTGCTTGGAATGCATTTCAGGGGCCTTATAACGCTCAATGGACCCTGGGAAGAACTGCATTGAACAGGAAAATATGTAATTATACCATTGCATTGATAAAGAAGTGGTTTTGATCTTATCTTGAGTAAATTCACTGCTCATATAGTAATTCCTGGCTTTCATAAGACCGTTGATAAGGGATGCACTTCTGTTCACCATGACATCACAGCCCATTTTTTTAGACCACGCAATATCATTAAGCCTTTCACCAATACCATCATAGACCGACGTCAAGCCATGACTCCCCCTGATAAGCACCGAGTATGACGTCACAGGCTGTGAAGGGATGATGTCACTGTGGAAGTAGATCTCATCATGGCGGATTCCAAAAGAGTCTCCATGGTTTGAAGGTGCGTACCAACAGTTATGTACAGGGTCATCAGTATGGTTCTTACACATCCTGGTTTAATACATAATATTGTTATTAGTCGGGCTAGCCGAAGGCTAGGTCGACTTTAGTTTTACCTTTTAGCCAATCAATCAATCAATCTATCTATCTATCTATCTATCTATTATGTCGCGTTTGGACCACCGGAAGWTAAGAATTTAATAATTARCTATTGGGTTGGCTGTGTTATTACATGACCGGAAGCTCAAGCGTATTGATGTACGAATATCGTTAGTAAATCTTATATGCTACTTGGCTTTTATATGACAAAAAAACTATTCGTTTACAAATGTGGTATCTGTGATCTCATCGGAATGCATCTGTCTATGCATTAGAAGTACGCGCATGTGCAGATCGCATAGAGTTTCGAGTTGTATGCTTACAAAACTGAATCAATATCCTTTCTAGTGTTAGACAGTCTTGTGGGGGCAAAGATTTCAAATTAGAACAAGAAGAAACTTTGTTTATCAATAACAAAAAGGCGACTTTGATTATTTTATAGGCATCTTTTTAAAAGTATTTATTTTCTTGGCCTGAGAGGTCAACAATTTGAATTAAAAACGTATTAGATATGATATCAATTAGAGACATCTAGTCTCTAAGTATTAATTACATGACCTTTTAGGTCAAAATTTAGATTTCTATCGTTTTGAAGTCGTTGCAGAGAGCAGTCGAAAAGAATATCGTATCGTGGAATAAACGGTCACGCATTCTTGCTTTCACTATGTATTAGAAGTAAAAAAATATATAATATTCTACGCCATGATATACATTCAAAAATAGCTAGTCCGACTTCACGCTCCAAGAGCGTCTAGTTATATTACATTCGTGTCGCCAAACCATGCAAGGATACCGAGTCATACCAAGTCATACCAAGTCATACCGAGTCATACCGAAACGAGTCATACCAGTCATACCGAGTCATACCTAGTCATACCTAGTCATACCGAGTCATACCGAGTCATACCAGTCATACCGATTCATACCGAGTCATAATTTAGGATCGGTAGCTCGCGCAGAAAACTGACTCACCTTTCGTGTGCACCATACAACCCCAACACATTGAAGGTCGATCGAACGAGAAAATTGTTGAAAGCAGCTTTGAGTCCTTTGGAAGTAGAAGGTAATCGTCGTCTTGTTAGGTGATCGACAAGATTCCTTAATGGGGGAGGGTTGGGAATGGGTAGGTCCTTGTCCCATTGTAAAACTCTGATTTGCAAGTCTCCTTTAGTAGATAACTCCTTGTGAAAATATTGATATGTAAAAGTCATTATATATTATATTATATATTATAAAACTTATTAATAATGCATGAGCTATTACTCCAATAAGGGTTGTCCATTTCATYAGGTGATTGAMCTTGTAAATCAGATACAACACTGTGATACAACACTAGTGTTGTATAAGATTTACAACACGGTCGTCACCTTGAGACAACCCAACACTAGCAAAGGTCTCAGTTTTAGTGTCGCATCATAGACCTTCACTAGGTTTTGAAGCAATCAAAGACGGATAACAGACCTCGCTTATGCAACAGATTGGCTTGCTTTCCATGTGGGATGGATAATTATTCAAAATGTTCTGTGTTGCAGAAAATTGCGCATGCTTAATAGCGACTCAACTCAGCAGTTTCCTTAATTGCCATTTTTTGTCATTTATCTCACTGTAATTCATGTTAATTTGTGTTGGAGTTTTATAAGTCGTTTACAACATTCGCGTCCGTGTTGTATGGGAATTACAATCTCTCGCCTGCGGCTCGAGATTGTAATTTCCCATACAACACGGCCGCTCATGTTGTAAACATTACTTATGCTATTGTTTATTGATCTCATACACTGAGTGCAGCCGATCCAAAACTAGCTGGTCTAATGTTCGCCTGAGAATCAGCGACGAAGAACGTATTCTGTCAGTGTACTGGGTAGCTCTTCACGGTTTTGCAATATCTTACTACCTCTTTGTTAAAAACCATGAACTTACCTTGTTATCATAAGGTCCATCGGTCCTGTTTAACGGCCATATGACCAACAATGCGGGGCGTTTTCCATAAGCTGCCCTCTTGACAGGATTAGACCACAAACGATGCATCGTTCCGAGGAGCCAGCTTCATCTAGAGGATCTTGTTGTGTCAAATAAATCATATAGATCCCTTTTGCTATTGTGACATATGTCGTTGAGACATGTTCCAACGTTCCATCGTCACGAGACTCACAAGACTTGCATTATTGCATTAAAATTTAATACCCTTGTTGTTTCTTTCTTCGCTTGTATTTGTTCTTTATCCGAACATGAGTCTAAGCTACACTGACAGTTTCCTGGAATTAGCAATTCATCATAATTAGTCTATTTATGAAATGTAAGCAAATTGCACTAGTGACCGACCGGGAAATTTTAGATGAATTTCTCCTCTCACAAACGGGATGCGGGGAGGCAGTCTCGCCTGCTCCGAGATCCCTGTCTTGCCCGCATTGTTAGCTATAAAAGTTCAGAGGCGAAAATGTGTTCATAATAGGTCATGGGACTTTCCCGTACTTCGCGTCGTCTGGTTCAGGAGCTATATTGTTACGTTTTGCTGCTAAAGAGAAAGACATTCTAAAGTGGTTGCTGTTATTACCGTTGCCAAAGGACTTAGGCAGCCGTTTTATGAACTACAACTATCTTTGAACTACAATGGCCATAAGCACGAAGAACGCAGTAGTGATATTCCTAGTTGGATTTGTGAATTATGTAGAATGGGCTGTGGTAATGACGTCAATATATCCATACATTATGGCGGTGAGAATGTAGTGCTGCATATCGCCTAGAAGATGATATATTATTTATAAATAATTGTGCATTATAGGCTCACAGCCTCCTAAATTACAGGAAATTTATTCAAAAATGGTTTTCCACGATACGAATATATGAGTCAGTTTCAGGTACATTTTGTGCCATGCGTTCCTTGATATCGTAGCCTTTTCTATGTTCGTGTTTTTGTTGCTGATTTTGATATTTATTTTTCTTTTGTTTTTGTTTTTGTCAGTTTTTTCTTTTTATATCATGTAACGAGCTTGGTTATTCAGTGCAATCCCGTCTTATSTTTCAGCTGTCCAGCACGCTTTCATCTTCCACTGTCTATTTATCGTTGGCACAAAGTTTGTTTCCATTGGGTCAAGGAATCTCTCAGCCAGTTGCTAGTATACTCGTCAAGAAGCTTCGTCAAGTTAAGATTGTATTAATGGGTTCTATTATTATCGCCATTGGAGGCAACGTTATTTACATGTCAGCAAGTAAAGCCGATTCTGTTGCTCTGATTATTTTAGGAAGAACGCTGGCAGGTTTTGGGGCAGGTTAGAGTCATAATAACACTTAGGCACTTTATTTTTGTCATCCTACGGGTGAACACTACTTTTCAGTACTTTTACTATTTGTACGAGTGGACTACGACATTTTTCTCGATTAATAATGCAAAAAAAGTTACCTCTGCTTACTCAAAGCAGCGGTTTTTGTACTGATGTAAGTTGTTAATGGTAGGTGGTGGCGGTGTTCTTTATGGGTTTATTGGCGCCAACATTGCTCCTGWAAGTCGTACAAAGTACATGTCTTACTACAGAGTCTGCTGCACGGCCGGAGTTTTGTTTTCTACAATCGGTGAGTACCGAGGTCTATCGAAGGGAAGGTGGGGAGGCAGGAATCGGAAATGCATTTTGAGAGGCCTCATAGTTTGACGCAATAAATCTATGAAAATATTACTTGGCACTGCCAAAAGGTATCATTATAGTTGACGAAATAACAATCGAATAACTGCTTGCCTAGCCTCATTTTCATGTTAGCCTTGTAATAATATCTCATATACCATATCTTATTTTACAGCCTCTGCGACGTTTTTACATTATTTCGGGAGGAATTTCATCGGTAAAGCCACTGGTCTAGACGAGTTTTCAGCACCAGCGGCCCTCACTATCCTTTTTCTTTCCGTCTGTTTGATTCTAGTAACATTTGTACTGAATGAAGACAACTGTTCTGAAATAGGTGCGTCTCCGTCTGTTGCGGGCTGGTTMGACATGGTTGTTAGTTTGGTTGATCAGTTCTTGAGTATTCGATATTTTGTTTGGTTTTTCACTAGATYGGTTGAGATTTTGATGTTGATTGGTATGAAGTAAGGTGGTTGTTTGGTTGACTGACTGGTCGATTTATGTTGGTTGGTTCTTGGTTGTTCGGTCGATTGATTGGATTGGTAGTTGACGGTGTTCAGTGATTATTTCTTGATTGGTCGGTCATTCAAGCAGTCGATTTCTTGAACCATATACAAGTTAATTATTCTATAGCTTCTGTAATCTATGTCTTCTAGGAGGGTCCGGTGCTGATGTATCTGTTATGCGCTCTCTTAAGTCACGTGGTGTGTTGCTTAGTTTAATGATGTATCTTTTGAATGGCTTCGTTACCACGTGGGTTGGTTTCGTGCTGCCATTGGTCGCTTATAACCATTTTAGTTTTAGCTTGCACCGTTATGGTTGGTTAATGGTTGTTCGGTAACAGCCACAATATCATCTCTAAGCGTGGCTCAAATGACTAAATTAAGCTGTATGGACAACAATGGCGACTGGGCGTACACTTTTGGTGTCCTACGCCATCATGATTATAGCAATTGTGATATCGTATCTCGGTGGACCTTCGGTAGGTATTGTTTGATGGAGGTAGCACTTCCGAGTGACAAATATACTCGGATGTATATACGTAACCTTTTTATTATGTTTGTTTCAGGTTTTGAATTCATTACCACTGACAGATAAGGAAGGTCTTTTCATTACTGGTGTCATATTGGTGTTTTTTACTTATTCTGTTTCTGGRGTGATATTACCTTCTCTGATGACTAAATTTGTAAATAAATCCATGATGGTAAGGACCATAACTAATGTGCTTTAATTAAGCTTGTTTAAACATACTTAATAATGTAAATGTTCTTTCTAATTCAGCCTGTTGTAATSCCTTACGGGATCGCTGCTATGTCGTTTGGTAAAGTCATCGCTCCTCTTCTTAGCAAGTTTGAGATGTGGGCCCAGGGATGGGAGTTCCTCTTCATGAGTACTGCTGGTCTAATTCTAGTAGGCTTATTAGCCTTAGTATGTCTTTATCGCATACCTCAACTTGAAGAAACACCACTCCTTCCTGATAATAGACTCTAATAGACCCGCGGCATCAGTAGTAGAAGTGTCTWTTGTTACCGATTCTGATTGGGCCAAAAGACTTTCAAATATTGTGTATTTACTGAAAAAAGAACAATCTAGCCAAGAGAACTAAAAGAAAGCCATCTGCCATGCACATGAAAAAAATGTAGGATAGAATCTAATGTACAAAACGCTAACATGAAGTGTCGAACACTTTCTTATATTCAGGTGGTTGTCAAACTTACAGCTTCTACAAATAAAAATTATGCAAATGTTTTGTGCTTTCCTTTGTTGATATTGTCTGTTTGTTGTTGTTTTTTTTTTTTCATTTTGACTACATTAAACACATTTTTGTGTTCTGCATTTGATTAAACATGAATACGAGTACTTGATTATCACTGTCACTATCATTGTTTTTGTGTTAAGAACATGAGTGCAAATTTTTCATTGGCAATGTACTAGT